TCAACACAGAACGCGCGCGTGCACCGTGTTTGGCGCCACCGATGCACGGAAACGCTGTGTTTTGTTTTTTTTTTTTGATTGTTTTTTTTGGTCTGCGAAGCCACGAAACATTGTGTATTTGTGTTTTTTGGTTTTTTGGGTTTGCAAGCCCCCGTGCCCGCCGCGGCCTCCCTCCCAGCACCCCTCTCTCTGCCTCTCAAAACCAAAAAAACCGAAACAAAACAAAAATACAATGTTTCGTGGCTTCGCAGACAAAATAAAACAAAAAAACAAACATACACAGCGTTTCCTTGCATCGGTGGCGCCAAGCATTGCGTAGAGAGAGAGAGAGAGAAAGAAAGAAATATATATATATATATAGAGAGAGATAGAGAGAAAGAGATAGAGAGAGAGAGAGAGAGAGAGAAAAAGAGAGAGAGAGAGAGAGAGGCAGAGAGAGACAGAGAGAGAGAGAGGCAGAGAGAGAGAGAAAGAGAGAGAGAGAGAGAACAAAAAAAGAAAAAGAAAAAGAAGCAGTCGAGGATGAGGAGACGAAAAGGTATGATCTTGGGGGGGGCGCGACCAAATATATGTATATATAAATCTGTATGCGTAGAGATAGAACGTTCAGTTCACAATCTACTGTCACCCAGGCGGTATGGCCCGACAGCAACCGCCCGCGCGACGATCTACAGCGGAATCTCTGAGCGCGCGCGCGCCGCCCCGGAGGGGCCGCCGCGCACGGTGGGCGGCGCCGGACATCACGGAGTGCCCGAAGGCTCACCGGCCACTCGAGCGTCGAGAAGCAAGCGGGCCTCAACCGAGAGAAGGCGCGACGACCTTACGCCGCGGCTCACGCGGGCAGCCCGCGGGGCACGCAAAAATCTCGGGGTTGGACAGAAACCCCTTTAGTCAAACGTGGTTTAGTGAAAACTGCCTCGGGCCCAAACCTGGCGGGCGCACGCCTGGAGAATGACGGCCGCGGCACCCTCTCGAGAACCGAAAACGGACAGTTCACTAATCGACGTGTCAGGGTGAAGGTTCTGTCCACCCCCGAACATCGGAAGCGAGGGCGCAAAACGCGCGACCTTGCGCGGGCAGCTCGCGCGCCAGCGGCGGCGGAGACGACCACGATGCCTTCCGTCGCGCAAGCGTCGGGGGGGTGCGGGGGGTTGTGATCTCCCCCCCGGAGGGGGGGGTACCCCTCGCTGGGTTGAATATTTCGGCTACAGAGCGTCACCGTCTTCGCCGTCGTCGTCGTCGTCGTCGTCGTCGTCGTCGTCGTCGTCGTCCCCCTTCAGGGTCGACGGCACCGGATGCAATGCCATTGCAGAGCGTCGTTCGGCAGGAACTTCCGGGGCTGCGGGCGGATTTCCGGGGACGGCGCATGGGGACCTTTGCTCACTCAGGATCTGGCACGTTCTCGCCCGAGTGGCTTGTCGCCTCAACTCGGCGGCGAGCGAGGGGGGAAGTGAGAAGGAGAAGGCCTTTCTCAGGAGGCGGCGGGACTTCGGGGGGAAGTTCTCTGTTTTCGGGGGAGGCTCAGAACATGTCCTGAAGGGGCTTGGGGACTTCCGAGCCTTCTGAAAAGTCCCGCTCCTTCTCACTTCCCCCCCTCTCGCTCGCCGCCGATCACCTCCCCCCTCACCACCTTTTAGTTTGGCGCTCCGCCAGAAGAGCGCGCAAGTGACAGTCGGCGATCTACTCGAGAATACCAAGCCCACCTGGATGCAGCTCATGCCCTGGAAGTGACGTTCGGACTGCGTATGTCCAGCTGTCCCTCCTGGGGCTCGCTGGAGAGCCCCCCCCCCAACGTCGACGCAAGCGAACTGCCAGGACCGGCGCAAAACCAACACATGTCCTGCACCCCCTGGCGGCGCCTCTGGCGCCGCCCCCGCAGCGCTCCCCGTGCAGGGGAGGGCGGCCCAGCGCCGATGCAAGACGCCCGCGGACCTCCGAAGTTCCCATGCTTCCCTGGACCTCTGGGCGTCACCTCTTGGGGTCTTCGGGCAGCCCCCGCGGCCTCTTGTGGAAACTTGTTCTCTTCTCGGCGCCCTTCTTATTGACGGACCGGGGCCCCAGCGACAATGGGAAATAGCTCTCGCTACGCAGCACCCGCCGCACAACAACGACGATGAGCGAGGGGAGGAGGAGGAAGAGGATGATGATGATGAGGAGGAGGAGAAGGAGGAGGAGGAGGAGGAGGCTGAGGAGGATTAGCAGCATTGGCGCAACCACGCTCCTTGAGCGCGAGACAGCCCAAGCATATGGCAGCCTCAGTCGGCGTCGAGCCTGGGCCGCCCTCGGCCGCAGAACGGCCAGAGCAGGAAGCCCCGTGCCGCGGGGGCCCCCCAGAGCAGGAGCAGGAGCAGCACCAGGAGCAGGAGGAAGAGGAGGGGCGAGCCTTCTTCCCCGCCTTCCCCGCCGAGAGTAGGGGAACAAAAAGAGACATAAACATAAAAACTCGGAGGTCCGCGCGGATTTCTCGGATCGGCGGGGGACCTCCCTCCCTGGCGCGCGGAGCGCGCCAGGGGCGGCGCCTGAGGCGCCGCAGGGGGGCCCCAGCGCCGATCCGAGAAATCCGCGCGGACCTCCGAGTTTTTATGCTTATACCACATTTTTCACTAGACAGGAACAAAAGGGGTTGGAGGGGGGTACGCTTATGCTAATTTTTTCCCTAGACAGAGAACAAGGGTTTGGAGGGGGGGGGGGGGGCACAACCAAGGACCCCGAGGGGCCAAGGGCTCTGCGTGCTGGCTTCTCCCTCCCCCGTGAGCCAGCAGCAGCCCCCCCCCCCCCGAGGTCGGCTGCCCGGCGCGGCCTCGTGGCCTCCCCGCGGCCCGGCGCCGGGCCCGCCGCCCCTCCCAGGTGTGGCCCCATCGCGGCCCCCTGCAAGCCTCGTCAAAGATGAGCAGAGGACTTCGGAGTTCGGGGACTGTGGGGTCAGCGCTGCTCCAATGCTGACGGATGCCCGTTGACTCGGGCGCGGTGTTGTCCCAGAACCGCCCCCCCGCCCCCGCGGCATTGAGGAGCGCGCTTTCTGACAGGTGCCCGAGAGCATCGTGCTCCAGGATGTCAACTTCCATGTCTGGATATGTTTGACGAGGCTTGTAGGTGTAGCCCTGGCTCCCGGAAGCCGCGGGCCACCGGGGCTCTAGAGTTGAGTCGGGCACGTCCCTCTCCAGGAGGAATACTCCAGTATAGTCTGAACATAGTCTGGGGGCGACTTCCTCCGATTCTCTTTTGATCATGTTTGATTTTGTTTTGACTCTGGTTCATGCTTCTTCCACCATCCGCCTGTAGGAGGACATGCCCGACCTCACTCTACAGTCAAGACGTGTATGGAAGACGGGTGGCAAAGACACAAGGGAACCCTGGATGAAGGTGCGCGTTCTTACTAGGCGCGATGACTGCATCGTGGCCCCCCCCACCCGCGTGACCGCGCAGAGCTGCTTGGGCTCTTCTGCTGCGAGGAGTCGTTGGGGGAAGCAGAACAAGTCTCCATGACGCGCCGCCATGGAGAGCCCATCCGCGTGCTACTGTGGAAGACACATGCCAAGCCTCCGGACCAAAACGAAAAGAGTACGCTGACGGGCGCCCGACGGCGTCGCGCCACTGATACCCCTGCCCCCATCACGAGACACCATGTGTGGACATCAGGCGTCTCGATGTTTGCAAGACGGGGGCCCGCGACCTCTCCACCACTTCCCCCGGGTCTGTTTTTGTTCCCTCCGAGTCGTCCTGTGACGGCCCCGAGGCCCGCGAGGGGCCCCGCGAGGCCGACACCGACGAGAACCCTGCGCGGCATATGTTGTTTCGGCGACGCCGGAGGTCTGGCGCCTTCGGGCCGTCCCTCGGCGCTCCAGCGGCCGCTCCAGAGGCTCCGGGCCCCCCCCCAGAAAACGCCCTCGGTGAGGCGGAGCCGCCGGACGACACCCCGAGACAGAGCTACCGCCGAGCACGGACGGAGACTCCCGGAGACCTCGAACCTCGAACCGAGCACGCCAGATGTAAGGTGTGTGTGTGTGTGTGCGTTTGTGTCTCCTGCCACCGCTGGGCGCCTCCTTCTACCTCCTCGTACATCGTTCCTTCATTCGCGTTACGTATGACGTACAAACACCGTATCCTCCAGCGCAGTCCCTCTGCCTAGCCGCCGACGTAACCAGTATGTGTGTGTGTGTGTGTGTGTGTGTGTGTGCGTATGTGTGTGTGTGTGTGAGTACTGTATGTGTGTGTGTGTGCGTGTGTGTGTGTGTGTGCGCGTGTGGGTGCTTAGCTGCTCCTCCCCCGACCTCTGGCGCAGGACCACCACACCGCCACGGCGGCGCCGCCCGCCGGGAACGTGCGCCGGGCCCAGCCGATCCTTCGAGCAGGGGCCAAGCGTCCCGGAATTCCTCTGGGCCTACCACGACATGCTCTTGGAACCCCAAAGATGCTCAAAGAGCAAGGTTCTCAGAACATGAACCCGCTGTTCTCAGAACAAGGAAACAATACCCTTAAAAAACACAGGCCCGATGTGAGAAACAACGGGACACTCTCAGCCAGAGGTGCTCTATAAAAGCACCCTTCGCGCAGACCACAGAACGCTCCTAGAGCACTCCAGGACGCTCTGTGCTGGGCCAGGACGTTTCCCCACTGATTTGGACGCCCGAACTGGGTACGGAAAAAATGGGTACAATGCCCAACAACAAGCGTTGTCCCAAACCAACAGCGGCCGCTGTTGGGCCGGCGGCCTTCTGTCTCGAATGGACACAGGCCGCGGCGGCGTGGACAGCGAACCCGGTTCAAAATGAGCAGGAACTGCTGTTGGGCATTCTACACATTTTTTCCGTACCCATTTCGGGCGTCCAGACCTGACGAGGATTCCAGGAGGCTCTTAGAGCATTCCAGGAGGCAAGCCAGGACGCTTCGCCACTGCTCGCGTCCTGTCGCGCTCGCGCGCCACGGGAGGGGGCCGCTCCTCGGCCCCCGCTCCGCGGGCGCGCTCCGCGGCGGCGGCCTCGCCGCCGCCGGCGCAGCGCCAGGGCTCGCGCGCCAGCGCGGCGGGGAGGCCGCGCAGCTCGGGCACCCACCGCTGGATGTCCGCCACCCAGCACGCACTGGGGCGCAGAAGGACACACACGAGGACTGTGCGCACCTTTGGGGGCGCACCTCCAGGCCGCATTAATACCGACGTATGTGTGCATATAAGCATATCTACAGATATATGTTATGTGTATATATATATATATATATATATATATATATATATATATATGTATGTCGACATGTATGGGCGATCCTCTCTTGGGGAATCATCTTTTATTTCCGCCGCCTTCCGCCGAGCTTCCGCCGGCTTCCGCCGGCGGAGGCGGCATCGTTCTACTTCCGCCGACCTTCCGCCGCCCTTCCGCCGCCTTCCGACGGGGAGGAGGTGGCAACTCCTTCGATCCTCGAAGGCAAGGCCTTCTTTGGAACGTCAAATGTACAGATTGTTTTAGATATGAATGTAACGTACATCGCGCAATATATCGTTACCGAAGCGGGTTGGCCAGAAAGCATCCGCCCCCGAGCATGTGCTAAAAGCTTTCTGAGCGCGCGCGTCAGCCCCGAGGGGCCGACGCGCACACGCACACATAGCATGAGCACGTTCGGGTGATGCCGAACGCCATGGAGTGCCCCTGGGCTCACCAGCCAGTCGAGCGACGAAAAGAAGCGGGACACACGCGCAGTGGCATAGCGACTTTACGCGGTGGCTTACAGCGGGCCGCCAACGCGGCGCGCTACATTGGAAACGAAGGCGCTCACGTGCGACCTTGCGCGGACAGCCTACGCGCCAATGTCGTAAAAGACGACCCCGTTGCTCTGCGTCGCTCAGCTGTCGCTGTTCTTCCAAGAACCACTCCGAAGCTCTCAAGGGTCCCGACCTCCACTTCCTGAGACCACCAGCCGGCCCCCGCGGAGCCACCAAGAAGCCCCATGGTGCCCCATCAAGAGGCCACACCAAGAGGCCCGCAACAGGGCCCCCAAAGGCCCAAAAACACTTCAAACTCCATCCAGGAGGCTTCCGAAAGGCCTCATATAAAAGACCATACACAGAAACCTTTGGCTGCCCGCGCGGATTTCTTGGATCTGCGCTGGACCCCCCTCCCTGGCGCGGGAGGGGGGGGGCCTCAGCGCGGGAGGGGGCCCAGCGCGGATCCCAAGAGATCCGCGCGGAGCGCCAACAGTTTATGTTCATGCCGTTTTTTCCTCTTCGATCTTACAGGGATCCCAGCAGGCACCCAAGCGAGGCCTCAGCGCCTGCAGCCCACGCGCGGAGGCGGCACGGGCCGAAGGCCCCTGCGGGATCCGCAGGCCCCAGCGGTGCCTCGGCCGCTCGATCTCGCGCCGGCGCCAGCGTGGTGCCCGTGAGCTGCCTCGCCCGAGATGGCCCCAAGGTGGCCTCCACGACGGCGCCTCCAAGACAGTCCCGAAGGCGCCCCCACGACGGCCAAGGAGGAGGCCCAAGGAGAGCCCAGGGTGGCCCCAGGATGCCTCCAAGACGACCTCCGGGAGGCCCCCAAGACGCCTCAGGAGGGCGTCAGGAGAGAGCTCCAGGAGCCCCAAGTCATGAATCCCCGCAAGGTTTTCACAGACTTTAGCGTGCTCGCCCTTTCGGGCTTCCGACGCTCAACGATGGCTCCCTAGGTCCCCAAAATCGCCCCAAGACGGCCCAAGCGGCTCCCAATAGGCCCGCAAGACGGCCCAAGAGGGGCCAAAAGGCTCCAAAGACGGCCCCAATACCCCCTTCAGTCCTGCAAGACGGCCCTAAAGCGCCCAAAGAGGGAACCACGATTACCCAGAGAGAGAGAGAGAGAGAGAGAGAGAGAGAGAGAGAGAGAGACACCCACCTGCGGGCGGAGCCCGTCCCGGCGCGGGTTGGGGTGACTGGCGCCGCAGCGCCTCAGTTCATCGTGTACTCCTCGTGTGCGAACAGAAATCTTTCTCCAAATCCTTCCACATGTTCTTGTCTGCAGCAATGTAAAACCAGTTCGTACCATCGACATCGTGACCGGCATCCTGTAGAAATTGTAAAATCTCTTTGTTCCAACGTTTTTTGGGCGCGTGTGGCCGGCGCCCCTTCGCCCTCGGGCAATCCGCCGCGTTCCAGACAGTTGCCTTCACTGCCCACCTGTCCGTAGGCATTTCGGCCAGCCTCGCCGCGTAGCGCCAAACTTTGCGCCGCCAGGCGACTCTCCAGTTGTCAATATTAAGTTCAACCATATGGCTCTCCACTTTTGCAGTTGCCCTCTTGATCCAATCTATCCACGGCTCGATGTCATCTTGGGTTGATGATGACGAACGTGAAGAAGAGGAAGCTGAAGACGATGATGATGCTGATGTAGAAACCGATCCGGAGCTGCCATGTTGTTCAGCATCGACTTCGTGCACGTGCTGCGTACGGCGTCTCCCAACACCAAATATCATGCGGAGCATGCGGCGTTGCGTCGTCTGGAGTTTTTGCTCCATTGCAACAGAAATCGTCCAGCTCGAAGAACCATATAATACAGTAGGCGTGACCACGCTCTCGAAGAGACGGATACGACATTTTAGTGAATACTTGTTGTTAGTAAGTTCTTCTTTGTTTGCCATGAAAGCCTTCCACCCTTGTCGTAATCGGTGTTCAATTTCCGCTTCCACTTGTCCTTCAAAGACCACGCGTTTGCCTAAATACTTCACCGGGTCAAGAAGCGGCACTATCTCGATCTGCATGTCGTCAACTGTGGCGTGCGTTCTTTTTCCCCTTCCGGTGCCTTTTGTCGCATTTGTGATGATTTTTGTCTTATCTGGATGAAGAAGAAGCCCGACTGCAGCAGCTGATTTCCGTACGTCCGACAGCATTCGCGTGACTTGTTGCCAGCTGTGACTCACGAGGAAGACGTCATCTGCGAACCGCAAGTTTGTCAATCGAGACGCCTCGCTGTACCCGAACTCCACGCCATACTTTCGATCAGCCCACTTCTGTTTCACATCCCGGAAAATATCCTCCAATAGCGCGTTAAAGATGAGCGAGCTCAGGGGGTCGCCCTGCTTGGTGCCTCTGGATATGTCGAAAGACCGGCTAAGAACATCAGTTTTAATACGACCCGTCTGCCCAGTGTAAAGTTTCGTAAGCAAGTGAATATACGCAACAGGTACGCTCTGCTTCGCAAGCGCGTTCCATAATGCCTGATGCTCCACCGTGTCGAAAGCCTTCTGAAAGTCTATCGCCGCGCGCCACAAGGAAATCTGGAATTCGTCCGCCTTCTCTTGAATTTGGAACAGTGTGTATAAATGGTCTGCTGTACTGAATCCGCTCCGGAACCCTGCTTGATCAGGACTTTGACCCTTCTCCAAGATTGGCGACAAACGATTGTAGAGTAATCTGGAAAACACTTTGTACAGCACGGGCACGATGGTGATCGGCCTGTAGTTTTTTGCAAGACGTTCATCACCTGATTTCAAGATTACCGTGATCACTGCCTGTCTCCAGTTCTCCGGTGGCTCTGTGTCTGGCCGCAATACGTCATTGAATAATTTCGTTAGCATGTCCACCAATATGTCGCCGCCTTCTATGAACATCTCGCCAAGAACACCACTGCGATCAGGGCACCGTTTGCGTTTCAATTGTTTCATGGCTACTTTGACGTCGTCCGGCGAGAACTCAGGTACGCAATCTTGTTCTGTGGCACCAACAAGAACGCCAGCCGGTAATACCGCAGCTTTGGACGAATATAGTTCCTCGTAAAATGACGCAAAAACATTGGCCATGCCCAGTCGTGTAGTGACGGTCTTTTCGCCCTCGAGCATACATGGGGCCATCTTCTTTTTATTGCTTGATTTGACTTTCGGTATTTTGCCCAAGCCCGAAAACTGCGTCAATATGCAATTGATGCGTTCGCTGGCCACGGCCTTCCTCATTGAGCGTACTTCTTTCGAAATGTGTTTGCTAAGTGCCGCTCGCCTTGCAGAGGCGTCGCTTGGTAATGCTTTCCGCTCCCGGATGAGTCCTTCCAAGCGTTGTTCCTGCCTTTGGGTAGCCGTACTCCTCGGAATAGTGGTTCTCGTTGTGTTCTGCGCTGCGGATGCCACCAGGACTGATTCAAGCTTTGCCACGCGGTCGCCTACGTCAGAGGGCCACTCCTCATCCAGAATGTGCTGTTCCAGTGTTTCTGCATACCCTTGCGCACGAACGTGTTTCCATTGAGTACTGCAGCGATTATCTTGCAATGGCATTCGGTTGACAACTGTTTGCGTTTGATGCTTAAGCCGAAGAACAATATGAACAGCAGCGTGGTCCGACCCAAGATCCAAAGTACGATCAGATCCACAATCCTTAATCAGCTTCCGACTCCCACGGTCCACTATGATATAATCAATCTGCCTTGTCCTCCCCCTCGTAGTTGTATGCGTGATTCTCTTCTCCGGCGGTTTTGAGAAAAACGTATTGCAAAGCATCATCTCCTCCATCGTGGCCCACTGTTTTAGCCATTGCCCCCTGGAATTTTCGCGATGCAGGCCGCATGTGCCCACCGCCAGCGGATCGTCCAGCTCCGTGCGGCTGCCGGCCTGAGCATTGCAATCCGCGCCGATAAGAAAGTGATATTTTTTTGACTTCGCCTCCCGCCTCAAAGAAGACAGAGTGTTGTAGACCTCCTGCACGTGTATATCCGCATACTTCGAGTGAGGGAAGTAAGCTGCGACAACTCGCATACGAAACATATTGAAATTTAAGTCCACAAAAATCATACGCTCATTCACAGCAACAAAATTCACAATAGACTTAGCCCACTTGCGGTGCACAATGATCGCCACGCCCCTCTCGTGCTTGGAATATCCAGCCCCCACAAAGATGTGCCCCTCCGTCATCTCAAAGTATTCGTGGGTCTCCGTACGCCACGTCTCATTCAAAATGACAACATCCCACTTGACATCAATGAGCTCCTTCATCATCTCCTCTATCCTCCCGTCGTTTGTGACACCCCTCGCGTTCTTCTGAAATATATACAACAGCTCATTGTCTTTGCTCTGAGCTTCGTGCTGCGTCTTTACGCCGCGCAGCGCTGCCACTGGAAAGTCGCCGGATACTTCGCTATAGAAACTTCGCCCGCCTCCCTTTGACACTTCAACTGGGCGTCTGCGTCCTCCCTGCTCCTCTCTTCACTCGTCGCCGCCGTCGTCCATGCCCCTTTTGTTCCTCCATTCCTTCATGTACTGCTCCACTCCGTCCTTCACCTCCTCCCCCTCGTCAACATAGTGCCATACCCCGCCCTCTATCCATGCGATCCTCTTTTTCTTCATCTCGACGGCCTGGCTCCTCCAGCGAATCTTGATATCATTCATGTCGTGGCCCTTCTTGTCGTGGAGCTGGTGCTTTATCTGCCCCAGCTGTTTGTCCATAGCTCGCTTTTTCAGGCCATCATTGCATTTGAATCCCATGTCCTCCCCTGTGGACCATGTGTGCTTAGTCGTATTCGTCTTTTTGAGAAAGCCGATCTTTGCAGCAACGGTGTGGAACTGGATGACCCCAAACTTCGACGGATCGCTGAAGACGAATATATCTTCCGACTTGTTGTCCCACCGGAGCGCCTTGACCACATCCGTCAGCTCTTTCACGATATCGTCCCCGTCCTTCTCCTCCTTGAGGCCTGTCACGACCACCTGTCGGTTCCGAGACTGTTGATCCTCATCGTCGTCATCATGTTCGGCATGTTTCGGTTTATGACTTGGTTGTCCGTCTTGGATGTTCTTCAGCGTCTGTTTGATCTCGTTTATGTCTTTTTCGATAGCTTTGTCTTTCTCCTGTAGCTTGTTGATGTCCCCCTTTAACGTCTTCACCTCCCCCATGGCCCTCCCTGCTGTATCCTTCGCCACCTGCACATCCTCCTTGATGCTCTGCATGTCCTTTTCCATCCGCATCAACATGTCGTACATCTTATCGATCTTCTCGTCTTTCGATAGGTTTTCTCCTTTGTGCTTCTTCGACTCTGGTGAGGCCAGTACTCCCTTCTCCCCAGCCCTCGAGGCCATGTCTATCAACCAGTTGTGTACCAGCTATCAGACAGGATGCAGGTCGACAAACAGAAGATCCTTGAGCCAAAATGGCTTGAGCCAGAGAGGACCCCAAGATGGCCTCCGACGGCCAAGGCATCCCCTAGAGGCCCCCCCAAACCTTCAAGAGCCCCCCCCAGAGGCCTGCAGAGGCCCCAAGAGGCTCCAGGAGTTCCCCAAGAGCCCCTCCAGAGGTCCCCAAGAGGCTCCCAAGAAGCACCAAGGAAGCCCAAGAGAGCCTCAAGAGGCCTCTTCTTCTTCTTCTTCTTCCTCATCCTCCTCATCCTCCTCCTCCTCGTCCTCTTTCTCTTCCCTCTCCTCCTCCCCTCTCCTCCTCCTGCTTGCCCTCCGTCTCCCAATTCTTCCCCGAGAAGGTGCCATAACTGCTGGGGGAACTTCGCCCCAACGTTTGGCGGGTGGCGGCGGTGACTCGCCCTAGGCGTCTTCGATCCTCCGCTGCTTGCCACAGGGATCCACGGCATGCTGAATCAATGAAGGGCTTCAACTTCTTGAAAACACTTCCACATGGAGTCTCTGCCGAAATTTCTTCACAATGAAGGTTCCCGATGGACACTCTGCCGATCGGTCCAGCCACCCAGAAAGACCCATAAAAGCTGGAGGCCGCTGGGAGGTCTGAGCTGGCCAGGACCTCTGAACATGTGTCAGGCGAAGGGGACGAAGCCAATTCCGGTCAAAAGCGGTCCCTGGACCCATCCCAAGGTCCAACCGGTGCAATCCCGGGTCCGCTGGTCACCGTGGGACCAGAGAGTAAACATAGAAAACGCCCCAAACCCAGCGCCTGGAACCTGGCCGAGGCCTTGCCAAGATCAGCGCACGTGCATATAATCATCCGAATGAGGGGGCCGAGCGGCCATCCATTGCCCATGCATGCGTGGCTGAGAACGGCTGTCACCATTGCTGGGCCACCTCAGACCCCGAGACGGCTCCAGTGTGAAGGTTCCCCGTGGAGTCTCGGCCGGTCGGGCTGGCCACCCAGAAGGACCCTTCGAAGGTCGTTCGCCGCAGGCGTCTTCGATACTCCGCGTCGGGGTCGCTCTGCGCGGCCCAGTACACGACCTCCAGCGTCTGCAGGCGGGTGCGGGGCGGCAGCAGCGGCCTGGCCTCCTCCTGTATGGCGTTGCCCCCGGTGGCCCGGGGCCTCAGATGGGCGACGATCCGAGAACTCCTCTTGCGCGAGAGGTCGTAGCGACCCCACGCCGCAGCCTGCGCGGGCCGCCGGCGCGGCACGCTGCATATTGGAGGCGAGGGCGCCCACGCGCGACCCTGCGCGGGCAGCCTG